TGTACCTACAGTATAATAATTATGTACAGAAAAATAACCAAAATGGCTTGCAAGTATTCGATCATACATTTTCTGGACGAAGAAGCAGTAGAAATCGTGCCTGTTTCTTGGATAAAGAAGGAGCTGACGGAAAGACCGAATGCTTTTGGCCACCGACTAACTTCCCGGCAAAGCTTATTATGCGCGCAGCGTGTCCAGATGAGAAGTACTCTCTCCATGCATGCAGAGTTATGCAAACATATGGTAAAATACTTTACATATAATTAAATAATTATATACGTTTAAAAATATCATAAATGCAATTTTAATTATTGTAATAATTATTTCAATAATTTCGTTTAATATATTTAGTATAATTATTACTTTTTTTTAGATAATTATGCAACAGCCAGGATGTATCTGCCAAAAGCTGAATTTGATTCGGATATTCAATGCAAAAGCTCAAATGAATTGTTGGGCAAGCGCAAAAGAAAACCCAAAGCACAGTTCAATTTATCATCTGAAGAAGAGGAAGAAAATGAAGAAGAAGAGGAAGAAGAGGAAGAGGAGTCACAAATCAAAAAAATGAAAGTAATACCAAAAACGAAAAAAGCTTGTGTGATTCCGGAAAGTCTTTCTCGTAAAGCGTCGAATTTCGAGAGGGCAAAAGAGATTTTTGAAAACTTTTCATTGGCACCAAAAAAAGTCGTCTCTATGCCATCAACCTCAACACCGCCAACAAAAATCGTCCCCATGTCGTCAGGTTTATCACCGCTAAAAAAAGTCATATCCAAGGCATCAAGTTCATCACTGCCAAAAAAAATCGTTCCTAGGGGCCCGATTCTCTAACTCATTCGTAACTTTACGTATACGCAACTTGCGAGTGATTGAAATGCGCATACGTTCATCATCCAATCACCAATGCCTATTCTTTAAGACAATATGCGGTCGTTCGTATTTAGATACGTATACGTATGTTTTGTGCGAATACAATATATGGCAACACTGGATTATTGACTACCTCTATCAAAAACATTGAGTATTTTTCAATAAATGGTATTTTATTTTCTAAATTTACTGTGTGTCACTTTGAAAAAGACGAAAAAACGAAAATGGATCAAACGGATGCAAGAAAACGACAGTGCAAATGTGACAGAAGAAC